TTTTCTGAGCATATTAGTTCATGTGTGAAGCCTAGAAAGATTTGTAAGCATTGACTGTGTTCCTCCCACAATGTTCCTACACAAAGCACTGCTTTCTTCACCACATGGCCCCAAGTACAAACACTAGGCACCAAGCACAGTGCTAAGTGTGTCACATGTGTTAATTCACTCACTCCTTGAAGATCCTAAGAGGCAGATTCTACGATTACCCCTATATTATAGACAGGAAACCTGAGACTTGCATAGGTTAAGTAATGTGCCCAAGGTCACATGCCCTGTGGCTGAGCATGGGAGTTTGAACACAAGAAGTCCAGGTCCACACTGCACGCATTCAAGTTTCGTGTTGTACCGATTTTCTGTTAGAAAGCAGGAGTCGGATATCTATTATGTTATACCTGTAGTTATGTTTGTAAATACCAAGTATGTAACTACTGCTGTTGAAGTTGCTGGTCTAAGTACGATTTACTTTAACAAAATTAAGGAGAAGATGTATTCATATTGGAAGGGAGTAATCTCTGCTTTTCAAAATATGCCTGGAACAGCTCTTTTAGAGTTTTAATCTGACACTTGCATTTTGCTAAGTAGAACTGGCCTAAACCTTTACATCTAGCTCATTCCAGAACTCTTGTCTATGGTACCCTTTCATGTGAATTGACTTCTGGTGTATATGTTTTGGTGTAATATATGGCACTGCATATGGAATATAACATTTACATTATAGATGTTCATAACCTACCAATAACCAGCACAGTGACCTTTCTTTTTTCAAACTGATGCTTTCTTAATTTGTTGAGGCATTTGCCCTATCACTGTGTATTAAGTCTGAAAAGTGATAATTTGCACTTGTATTTATCCTTTTGTTCTAAACCAATCACTATTTTCACCTATCAGTGTGATGGATGGGAATATCTCTTCTCTCCTCTTGATGTTTCATTCCATGTGAATGGAGTTTAATTATTGTAGCACTCCTGGCCTCTCTCTGCTCCAGGAGAGGTGCAGTGACTAATCTGATTTTTAATTTGGTAAGAAGCAACTGCACATGCCTGTCTTAGCTTCTTTCTATTTTCTCTTGGGAACAAGCTATCTAAAAGGAAACAAGGGTTCTCTGCTATTTTATATCAGAAGTATTACCTAGAAAGCCACCCTATGTAGGGTGTTTTGCTTGGCACCATAATTCCTGAGACTGAGTGGGGATGTCTACATGATTCTGGAGTTCAGATAGCGATGCCCCCTTGCTCTGATATGAAGCTGTATATTCCAATTTAGCCTTTCTCAGAATTAAAGGTAATATTTAATCTCTTGTCTGCCTAACTCTTGTTTTCTCAGTTTTCTCAGAATTCAGGAAGGAAAGAAAGATGTTATTTATTGGATCCTCCCAAAGATCCCAACATTAGTCATCACCTGATAACCACAACTCTTTCCAAGGAAAACTGCTCTGCCCATAGTCCCTGACTTTGAAGCAGCCATGTCCTTTGCTACTTGACCTTTACTCCATTCCTCCACCTCGTTACCAGCTCAAGGCTAACCTAAGTGCACCCATCTGATACCTGACCCCATGACTCTTTGGTCTGGTTTGAAAAAATGAATTTATTAATCTGAACTAAGAAACATAGAATCTGCTATTAGGGGTGGTTCAAGAAGCAGAAAGTAGAGCATAGCTAAATCATGTTATGGGCAACACTAAAGTGAAGATCCAAGAATGATGGCTCTGAATCCAAATCCACTGTTTTCACGAGTGCCCTTCTGAAAGTTACAGGTCCCTTTATTGTCCCATGTGTATCTTCATAATAATGTACACCCCATTTTATGAGTTTGTCTGAGTGACCCTCTTATTCCTTCCAACTAAAAAAAAAAACCAATTAAAACCAAAATGGTCAAAGTTTCTATTGACAATTGTCAAATAAACCATCAATCTCAAAAACACAAGTTTTAAAATGAGACTAAGTTAGTCATTTGGCATTCATAAATAGAAGTTCAAAGGCAGAAAAGAAAATTGATATTATGTATGCCCAGCTCTGTTCAATAAGGCCAGTCTCTGACTGAGTCCCTCCTATGCTGGGTAAATGTAATATGGTCCTTTGGTTTTCAGTCTCAACCAGCCTGTGATATGTGCAGAACCTGCAGCTTCTTCCTCTGCTAGGCTCCCTTAAACTTCTGCTTGGAAAGAGCAACCCTATTCCTGTCACCCTGCACGTGACCTTGGAGGGTGCTCAGCAAGCCACAGGAAGTCCATTTTCTTTGAAGTTGCACTTCAGTGCATGGTTGACGTTTGGTTCTGCTCTTCCTTCTTGTAGGTGCCCCACTTCAGTTTTGGGGTAACTGTATACCTACCTGGGATGCAATGTTTAGAGACAGGCTACTGTCCATCTTTACCTCCCTGATAAAAATGGTTTCCATCTTTGTAACACCATCTAGTTTATGAAGAACATTCACTTACATTACCTCATTTAAGTTTATAGTAACTATAAAATCTAAGTAAGATAAGGAAACTGAGGCTGGGAGATTAAGTGATTCCAAATTTACAAAGTTAAAAGGGTCAGAGCTAGGGCTAGGCTGGAACCCAAGTATTTTTTCTTTATTTTTCTTTTTTATTAGGGCAAAAATCATATAAAATTTTAAGTATCAATTTTAAGTGTAGAGTTCAGTAGTGTTAAGTGTATTCACATGATGTTAAACAGATCTCCAGGACTTTTCATCTGGCAAATATGAAACTCTACAATGAATAACAGCTTTCCCTCTTCCCTACTCTCCAGCTCCTAGTACCTACCATTTTACTTTCTGTTTCTATGAATTTGATTATTCTAAGTACTTCATAGAAATGGAATCATACAGTATTTGTCTTTTAGTGACTGGCTTACTTCATTTAGCATAATGTCTTCAAGGCTCACCCATACTGTAGCATGTGGATTTCCTTATTTTTTAAGGCCAAATAATATTCCATTTTATTTATATACCAAATTTTGTTTATTCAGATCTGCTGGTGGACTTTTGGGTTGCTTCAGCTTCTTGGCTTTTGTGAATAGTAATGATTTGTACATGGATATGCAAATATCTCTTCGAGAACCTGCTTTCAATTCTTTTGGACATACAACTTAAAGTGGAATTGCTGGATTGTATGGTAGTCCTACTTTTAATTTTTTGAGGAACCTCCACCCTGTTTTCCATAGAGGCTACACCATTCTACAGTCCCACCAACAGCGCAAGAGTTTCAATTTCTCCATATCCTTGGCCAATACCTAAGGAGCTCAAGTTTCTTAAGGGTCAGCATTTTTCCTGCTTTCCCCTATGGTTTGCTCAAGGTTACTTTAAAGCAGTACCTAATCTGGGCATAGGAAGCTGGGTCACCATTCACTGAGTTCAAACAGTAGCTCTTAGGAATCCACAGCCTTTATTATTATGAGAAAATTCTAAGAAACAATGGAAGGAAAAAAAACAATTGAAAAGAGTATTCTTGTTATGTATTTAAAAGTAAGAGAAAGAATAGAACACTTTGCAGGAGATAGCTCTTACATTCAGTGTTTTGAATTTCTGTAGTAAAAGCTGGTGCCATGAGAGCAAATGATGATTTGGTGATTAGCTGGGGGATAGTCCAACTGGGCTCTCCTCACAGTGAGCTGCAAGGACATTGTGCAAGTCCTGTGGAAAATTCTGTGAGATGGTCTTCCTGAGTTGAGGAGATGGAACTTCTAGGAGTCTGGGGAGGTCAAGGCAGCTAGGGTTCACAGGGCAGAGTACCAGAAGGAGAGAACTAAATAAAGCAAGAAGTCTAGAGATCTGCAGAGGCTTCCCCTTGAGTTCAGCAGAATACCGATCAGCTCATGCTTGGAAAGACATGCCCGAAGGTTGGGAAAGAACTACCTGAAAAGAGCAGAGGAGACTACTTCCAGGTCTCATATAGCTTGTGTTTTCACCAGCCAGAGAAGGAAATCTTTCATTCACAGGGCATAGTGTAGAGTATTCAGAAGTGTTTCACCTCACTAGTGAGGTAAAATGCACCTTAGAGTAAGATGGTTCATGGCCCACTCTGAAAGCTCAGAAGCAAATGGGAAAGGATCAAACTATTTCCTGACTTG